GAGGGGAGGGAGAGGGGAGGGAGAGGGGAGGGAGAGGGGAGAGGTCGCGAACTTGTGTCCTTCCCTTCAAATGACTATGGCCTGCTGCGATGAAGCGTTGTTACGGACGATTTGGATAAGGACGGCGTGGCCGGAAAATATCATGCAGTGTAGCATACCATAAGGGGAAGGCATAAGCCTCTCTAAGAATGATGGTCGATGATCGTAGTTCCTTTTCTTCTTAAACAGTGTTTTATTATCATGATAAATGTATATAATACATAATAATATTCAAACGTAGTTTCGAAAGACATCAATAATTGATTACGAAGTTTGAAAGAAATTTGAGAAGATAGATGGGAAGGAGGAGAAGGGTGGACCCAGAATTTTAGCTTTAGGTATTTATTAGTTTCCGAGGTATTACTAAAAAAATTTCGGTATTACACATTGAATTCTGCCTATACTGTCTATACTATACAAATGAGAATTGAGAACACAGACTCTAAAAATTCAAGATCCGCGAAGAACTATTTCGCATAAATGTACTTTTATTTGGTGACATCATATAACCACCCCCGTGATTATTACAATTACAGCGCAGAGATTGGTTCTTGTTACCAATTTCCAATCTGCAAACTCGTCACTAATATAAGGCAGAAGGACGATAAAGAGTATCGACCTATTAAATAATTTACGATTTGGTGACGTAAAAATTCCTCAACAAGCAATACTAAGAATATTCAGCATTCGGTGCAGCACTAAGAATATTTCCGACAGCAAAATTAATGGACGAATATCATACAAAAATGATAGATGATCACTATTGATCCACATTATTATATGTACATTATTGATTCAGTAGACGAGTTTCGCTAGATATGGAAAAAGATTACCCAACGATGTTATTTCTGCAAATGTAAATAAATGCAGCGAAATATTGCATATAATAACGTTAACTGAGAAATCATTAATTATGTTACAACGAAACATAGCAATTTCTGATGGTTTGATGAACGGTGCAATGGGAATCTCTAATAGTGCGATATCTCTAATAGTGCAACATTGCAGGCGATGAACGGTTATGAAATTAACGTTAAACTAAGAATGTTATCCCTTATCTGATAAGCTGTAGTGACTGTACATAAATTACAAGAAACTATATTAACCAGGGCTGTAATTGGTCTTGGCAGAAAGAATTCTTCAACGGACAAAATCTACGTTGCTCTTAGTCGTGTTAAAACGTAAGATTGTCTAGCTATATCTGATTTAGCGCCTAACAAATTTCTCCATGATTCGCATGACGAAAAAGCACTTGCAGAAATGCAAAGATTACCAGGACTTCCTTCGGCAAAAAAACAGCTGAAGTCTACTTCCTATGATCAATGTGTAAAGAAAGGACCCAAGTATCTTTGAAACGAGGAGTTAGTAATAAAATACGCGGAGCAAGTCAGCTTTGAGTAACAAGCCTATGTTTAGAAACGGTCGATATTCTATAGGAAACTTTGTAAAGCAACCGCTTAATTTCATCACTTTCAGCGACGAGTTTGTGGAGAAACGCTGGGATAGAACCGAATGAAACGACAAATAATTCAGATTATTTGCAAGAACGATAGTTAAGAATAAAGAAGTTGAATAAATTTCACAAGCGAGAACAATCGTTAGACTATCCCTACAAGATGCAGGATGTTTCAGGGTGACAGCTTCATCTAGCACAGAGAGATCGATGCGCATACATAAAAATTAAATGTTTGTTACAGACAGTAGTTGACTATAAACATGCGTGAAAAATTCTGTAATGGGATCAACAGAAGACATACTCTACACGAAGCAAATAGAATCATCTTGAGACGCAACAATTGCAGAGCTCTCACTGATCATACGTAACTGAAATTGACGATCAGCAAATTCTTTGCAATAATAGCAGTAAATAATAAATAAATTGGACAAAGTTTGCAAACGAGACTAATCTCGGCGCACTACCCCTACCAGGGATGCAATGCAAAAGGTTTTATCCTGATAACTCCATCGAATTCAAAGTAATCGATAAACGTACATAAAATTTGGATTTTTGCAAAAAATATAGTTTACAGAAAATTAAAACAAAAAGATTATATAACGAGGCCAACGGGAAAACATATTCTATGAGATGCAACAGGAATCGTTTTGGCTGATGAAGTCTTTCCATGAAAATCGATGAACATACACGAAATTGGTATAACATTCATCGGTGAAATTAGAGTTTTAAAACAGTTTAAAGTAAACAAATTGAAAAAGTTTGCTTAACGAGATCAACGGCAGGATATGCCCTACAAGATGCGAAAAGAATCATCAAGATTAGCCAAGGTGTTTCTTAGAAATTGACGAACATACATGAAAAAGAGGAAAGAAAATATCGATATAATAGAAATATCATTTAATCTGATAAAGATTTATTCCAATTAGAATATGTGTATTTGTTATATGTATTTAATTATATTATATCGCAGATCGAGGAACATGTTTAATATACTGAATATAAAGTATTTTTTCATGCATTATTGTACATTTCTTTTCATATTGGTCTTTACAATGAACTTTCTTTCAAACGTTAAATATAAAAGTCTTTTGCTCTTTGGTAAATTTATCATTGACGCATAACTGAATAATCCCTCTCTGGGTGTAGAAGAAGAGATTGGTGTGTTATACCAAAGAAAATACACGTCGAATCAATGGGTAATACTTTAACATATGCAAATCACGACTTTCACGGAAGAAAAATTTTGTGACTTCTGCATTAATAGAAACTCAATTATTGGTTTCAGATTGTGATGATCCAAAATCGAAAAACTCATCATCTTCACTATCAATATCTTCTGACGGTCCCTAACGAACATAAGAAATGGAAGACAAGTTGCATAAAAAAATAATACTGCATACGTTATCACAATAATAATAGGAAAATTTTGTCTATACGTACTTGTCAGCAACAATCGTTTGAAATTCTGCGTATAATGGTGGATGGTGACTCGTTTCGATGCAATTCAGCCACCCAGATTTAAATTTTGAAAGCGAGAACGTTATAACTGCAATTTGCTTAATCTCAATCGTGATAAAATAAAAAAATAATGCCAATCTTGTATAGAAACTCTTCAATAATCCTTGAACTAATGGCGCACAGTACTTGTATTTCTTTTTTATTAATGTTTCTAACTTTTTCTAACATAAAATCTATAACATAATGCCATAATGTGGTTCTTTTTCTCCCAGGATGATATCTAAAACTTTTGTTAGTGGTATTAGACATTGTAGATACTCTTCGATATATTGAAATCCAGTGTCTTTTATGTTAGCGTTTAAAGTTTCTCACGTATTTTAAACATTACTTGCAACGAGATCGCATAGCAAATTCCATCTTGCTATTTCTGGTCTGTTCAAGGTATATCTTAATATATTTTGCATAATTTCGGCAAACTTAGGATATGCGGTACATTTTCGTAATGTACCATTCCATTTGGATATAACTTTGTTGTTAATTAAGAGCAATGTGTCACATTTTTCACACATTGCCGCCATGCAATAAATTGTAGCACATAACCTTAAAGTATGTGCACGACATTTTAAATGTAGTGATAAACACGGCCTGATATCCAAGGCGAAAGATTCATCGTCTTTATCGACAGTTACATAATTTT